ACAAAACTGGAGTGATTAGAGAAATGAAGAGAAGCAAAGGCATATTGAAGATAAATAAGGAAGATTAAGAAAAAATACATACAACTGTAGGGTAGACACATGGGGTAGACAAAGAATAATGAACTGCTCAGTGAAATTCTGCACTTTAGCTCCTACTGAACTCCAAAAAGAGCAGCTAGGACCACGTATAGCCACATCATCATCTTCGGAGAGAAAAAACACTGTGCAAAGGCTGGAAGACTGAACTTAATTCTATACACAGGAGAAAAAGCCTGACAAGGAACAGTACAGCAAGGTCTATAACCAAAACAGTATTTTAACCAATCAGAATATTCTTAAATAGCTAGCTGTGGGGCAGAAAACTTTGCAAGCACAGTTTTACCTGACTGCTCATAGGTTGAAGTGCATAATCAACTGTTATGTTAATAAGTCATGCATAAAAATCCATGAGTATCAAGATGAGAACATATTCCATTAGACACCAAAAGGAAAGCAGTTGCAGACACGGTAAAATTAGCATCCCAGTGGACACAACTCCAACAAGTCATAGGGAGGTCAGCTTTGAAGGAGAAATCCAAATGAAATATAAATGTGGCATTGTAGAAACCAGACAAATCTCCCATAGCTTTGTCCAGCCAGCACTAATCTAGGCATCTGCTGTGTAGCATAACCTAAACAAAGGAATCAGTCAGTTCATACACCTAGAAGCTGTCATATTTCGGAACCTCCTAACAGTTATGCATAACTGAAACATTCATTTGCATGTAATATCCTTTAAATTTGTTGAGCAGTCAAGAACTGTTACATGCATACACTGTGCATATTACTACCTTTCTGAGGAGCCATCACAAATACTATTTAGTAACAGTTGTTAGACCATCTCTTCCCACAGAAAAAATAAATCATGAAAATAGATGGAGTCAGGGTGAGGAGTTTTCCTTAATGCATTCTCTGTTGAAAGTAAGTTTGAGTGTCCATGGCTTTTAGAGTTCATTCTTGTCTGAACCCAGTGTTCGCTGAGGAATAATGAGAAAGGAAGGCCCATTCTCTACAAAAGAGTCCACATAACAAGTAATAGGAACTAGCAGACCTCAAACCGCTAATCAACACCTCCACATGGCGCCACAACTCCAGCAGCAGCCTGCCCTACTGCTGAGGCAGCCCTACTGCTTACCTACATTCCCTCTGTTCCTGTTGAACAGCAGTGGCATAGGGAACAAGAAAGTAATGTGGCTTTCAACTGTTCTATTTCACTCCTGGATTTATGCACCAAAATCTCCAAGCTCTCTGATACTACAAAAATGCCCATCTCAACCTGTTCATAACCAGCAAAATCCCCAGGGTGCAGGAATTCACTCAAAGCTCAGGAGAGAGGAAGAAAGGAATGGTGCAACCAAGGCAGTGCCCTGTCTAAGCGTACATGTTCCAACAGAAAAGGAAACAGACCCTTCCAAACAAGGATTTAGAGTGCACATTCTGGCACATATATTAGCCACAGTGTGATAAGTTTGGAAATAATAAAGAAGATTAAATTTCTGGAACCTCAAGTAAATTAAACTTCTCTGAAGTTTCAAAGGCAAAAGGAACCATGTTCTTACAACTTAGGAGGGGTGCCAGTTCTATAGAACAAGATCCTCCTCTTGCCCTTCCCATAATAGGTAGACTGGGGCACTTATGTACATTGTCTGGTACAGTTCTGTACAAATGCTGGGAGAAGGCCTGGCTACACTAAAGTAATTCCAAGTTCTGCCACTGCTTTCAATGAGTTCAGGTTTCACCCTTTACCTTATCAGTGACCAAAGAATATTCACACTATTCTAGACTAGAGTTTCACTAAGTTAAAACTCTTAAAGATGAAAGAGGAATTTTAATTACTTAAGTTATTCTTTTGATGCATGAGCTTTTCAGCAATGAGCATCAACCCTGAGCATCAACGTGGATACTTCTCAAGATGGAACTTGACAGAGAACTATCAATGATTTAGAATGTAATAGCTGTGTTGAAATAATTGGCAGGGGTTTGGGGTGGGGTGGGGTGTGCTGCAGGGGTGACCTCTGTAGGAGATCATGGACTGCCCTGTGTTGTACACAGGTTCCAACTGCAGGTCAATGGAAGTAACCCTTCCCCTTTATTCAGCACTGGTGAGGCCACACATGGAGTACTGTGTCCAGTTCTGGGCTCCCCAGTACAAGAGACATGGACATACTAGAGAGAGTTCAGCAAAGGGCCACAAAGATGATTAAGGGACTGGAGCACCTCACATATGAGGAAAGGCTGAGAGAGCTGGGACTGTTCAGCCTAGAGAACAGAAGGCTCAGGGGGGGATCTCATCAATGTATTTAAATACCTGAAGGGAGGGTGCAAAGACGACAGAGCCAGGCTCTTTTCAGTGGTGCCCAGTGACAGGACCAGAGGCAATGGGCACAAACGGAAACACAGGAGGCTCCATCTGAACATAAGAAAACCTTTTTTCACTGTGAGGGTGACCGAGAACTGGAACAGGTTGCCCAGAGCGGTTTGAATATCTCCAAGAAGGAGATATTCAAAAGTCATCTGGACATGGTCCTGGGCAACCAGCTCTAGGCAGCCCTGCTTGAGCAGGGGGGTTGGACCATATGACCTGCAGAGCTTCCCTTCCAACCTCAACCATTCTGTGATTTTTTCCTTGAGAATTGCATTTTTACTGCTAGGCCAGTCACACAGGTGGTGTCAGCAAGCGGTTTCTTTTATTAAACTGTCAGGAGAAGCAGGTGGCATAAGATGGGACTACCCTTCCTAGTAAGCAAACCCCAGTAATATCAGGATAATAAACCTCAGGGACGAGTGCTGGATAGGACTGCAATCAAACATTATTTACCAAACACTTATAAAAAGGCAGAGACAAAAAAGTAAGAGCAAAAATTGACAAAAGAAACTTTGCCACAACAATCTCACAAGGAATTAAGAAAAAAATGTTGAGGAAAAAAAGAATATTCACAACTGTTTGCATTAGTAATTAAGGTGCACAGCACCTAATGACCAGAACAGATTCTGAATGTACATCTCTGCCTATGGGTGGGATCCTGCAGCGCCTGCTCTATTTTTCTGGGCTGTGGGGGCTAATTTCACTGTATTTTGGGCTCCTCAACTACATGTACCAAAAAAGTTCAATTAGTAGCACATTATTTTTCAAAATAGAAATAACAATACTCACTAAATGATCCATGAACTTCATCCTGACACCAATATGGCTGTCATCTGCAAAGATAAAAATCTGGTCCTATATGCTATAACTCATCCACAGGTCAAGACAGACCACCTTGATAATAGCTGGTAACTTTGTTTGCACTCAGCACTAAATTTTCAACACACAGAGGTATTTACTAATGATTACTTATGCAGTTTTCTGTATTAACTTTTATAAGCCAAATTCTGCTGCAAGCTACTTTGACATAAATCCAGAGTAACTACCGTAACTACCACTGTCAACAAAGTCAGTCTGGTTTTACATCAACACAGCTAAAGAAGGAATCTGATGCTAAGTAAATAGTATTTTCTCCCTGAAAAGAAAAAATTACAACCTGGAGTCATGCGTCTCAGACTACAGTAACCCTGAGCAGGCCCCCGGGCAGGAGGGCAGTTGCTGACTGCGCCTCCAGGCCCTCAAAGGACCCCCCCCCCCTCCCCCCCCCCCCCCCCCCCCCAGCATGCTGGGGTGGGGCTGTTTCGAAAGGAAGTACACAAACCCCCAGCCTCCCAATACAATTTCTTCTCCTTTACCAAAGCAACCTTCCTACACTGGTGCTTCCCAACACAAAGGCAACACAGGTGAACCTTTGGGCTGGTTTTGGAGGACTTCTTCCCCTCTGGCCTAGGACAGTGCCCATGGCCACCCCACACCTGGCTGCCCAGCCACAGCCTCTGGGCCAGCCAGGCCCGGCTTCACTTCAGTGGTCTTTTTTTTTTTTAACCTTGAGACAAATGTTTCTCCCCCACAGTTGAAAGCTGTCCAGAAAAACAGGACCACACACAGGCACCCACCCCTCTAGGCCATGCTCCTCATGGCCTGCCATGGGCATATGCACTCACAAAATGGCGAAGGAGGGGCCTCCTTGCAGCACAGCCTCCCGTCTCTGGCAGCGGGGCCAGAAAGACACCGCTGCTAGCAGCCCTCCTGTCTGGAGAAAGGGGCTGGAGGGTGGACAAGCAATATAGCTGGGCACAACAAGGCCAGGTACTCACCCAGAGTGCACAGCCCACTGTCCTGCAGCCCTCCATGGGTGGTGAAGTGGTATGTGCTGCCTGGAGCCACATGCCCTGCTGCCCACCCCTTCCCAACCTATACACACTCATGTTCACCAGCCTCACAGAGCCCCGCAAAACACCATAGCGCTGGGCACAGCCAGCACTTTGTATGCTTCCCCTGGCCACCAGCCCAGCCCCCAAACAGTCAGCAGGCCCTCCTCAGCATGAAGAAGGTCTATTATATACATATGTATACACACGCACGCACACACTCTTAAAGTCTCTGACACTCAATCTCTTTTTATCCAGCTCCTGAGGTGGAAGGGGCAATGTGGGGAGGGATGGCATCAGAAAAAAGGGGATCTCAGACTTACCTTCCACCCACAGCTCCTCCACGTTGGTTTCAAGATTTGCTGCCCTTAATCCTACAGCGAAAGCCCCAAATATGAGAAGGCCAACAATCAAAAACTTTCCACAGTTTTTTTGAATGTAACAGCCCAGATTAAATAATAGTCTCTGAAACTTTGCTCTCAGCCACAGCGGTGCTCTTCGTCCAGTAGCTTTCCCCTACAAGGCAAGGAAAGGTTAGTAGTTAAGAAGGTGGGGCAGACACTGACACAGGCAAGGCACACTTATTCCAAGAGGGCATATGGGGAAAGAACCCCTCCAAGCACTAACACAAGCAGAACAGTTATTTATACATAAATGCTCATATCCTCACAGTGTCCCTTGGAGTAAGGACAGTAATGCTGTCCTTCATGAAGGACCTTCACCCCATGGCTCAGCTGAGCAGCTTGCAACCACCATTAAGTATTCCTGTAGGCCAAGATGTGTACCTGCTGGTAACTGTCCTATTGCTAAACCACCACACAGGTTTGGGATTCCATTACTGCTTGAAATCTGTATAAACAAGACAGTGTGTGTGTCTGTTCCCTGCCTAAGCTGCCCATCACTGTCTTGCACTCAAGTCATCACTACCAGTTCAGGTTGCAACACACTCATTCATGTTGGCAAAATTCATGGCTCTAGGGGAGAAATAACCTATGTCAATGAATCTCAACAAGCATGTCAAGAAAAAAAAGTCCCATTTCCTGTTCTCATTAGAC